AATAAATGCATAGCTTCCTGGCTCATATCTTGAACAATGTACGTAATCTGTGATACATATGTTAGAATCTATTGTATGTATACAGGAATCAGGCTGATTGAGGAGCAAATGCACTAAAGCAAAGCACTGGCTTTGTGTGTGCTACTGTACAGGACACACACATCTTCAATAACCTTTATTGTCCTGCCCCTTTCTTTTTGTTAAAGCTTAGTAGTAAATCAGTAAGTTAGCTTTGCACATGGATTTTCAAGAGATCAAAAGAATGCATTCAGTGATTATTACTCTTCTAATTAAAACATGACCATACTCATAGAGATCATTGACCTATGAAGATCTAGTGCAAAATGAACCTTTTGACATAACTGTCAGGTATGTTCGAAAAATTTAAAATAGAAAATGCAGAGTGATTTAAAAGACTTTCTAGATAAAGTCAAAGGTCATGTGTTTCTCAGTACTTCATATTTGTCTTACAGAAATGATACTTTGACACACCACTTTCTTTCAAATAAATCATCCTGATTCTCTTAGTGAGCTATGTCTCATTTTTTGTTAGTATAACAGAGTATCTATTTATAAGGAATTGAGGAGTTATGCTTTGGATCAAAAATGTCTCATGAGAGGATTACATGTTCAAAGGTGGAGCTGGTGAAGGTGATGGGATGTGGGGACACTAAGCTCCCCCAGGGGTTAATCCTCGGATGATTGCACAGCCCACTGTGCTGTTATGAGGTAGGTGGGGCCTGGCTGGAGAAGGTGGAAGGTGACTCCTGGGGTGGCCTTTGGAGGGGGTATGTCTCGCTCAGCCTCTCCTCTGCTTCCTGGCTGCCTCCCCTACTACATCCTTCTAACATACAGCCCAACGTACAGCCCATGGAGCCAGCCCACCATGACCGAGGCCACGAGCTGAAATAACCTCCTCCTCTCCTCAGTGGGTGTTAGATGCTCTGTCCCAGCAACAGAAAGATGACTAACAAAGGTTTATTTAGTCCCTGGTTCCAGAGGCTGGGAAGGACAACAGTATGATGCCGGTGTTTGGGAAAGCACTGCACTGTTTCATCTAACGGCAGAAAGGGAGGCTGGAAGGGGGAAAACGTAATACATGGCCCGCTTTATAGATTCACTATCAAGCTGATTAACAAAGTCCTGCAAGAAGTGTACTAATCCTTCTCTATGACCTAATTACTCCTTAAAGGTCCACCACTGTTTAATGCTGTTGCATTGGAAATCAAAATTTGTCATGCATTTCAGAGGGAACAAACCCTTTTACAATAGCAAGCTACTTTCTTGGCACAAAGCTGGGGCATACAAATACTGCTCTTTCAAAGCAAAGTTTGGTGGGGTTTTTTTGTGCATCTCCATTTCTTCTAGGCATAATGCTGGGTGTAAGTAACAGTGAAAAATCAAGCAGACATAGTTCTTTCACAGAATGGTGTGGGAGATGGATACTAATCACTCATCTCCCCACAGAACACCACATGGCCCTTAGGAAGTGGAGGGGACAAGAACAATCGAAACAAAACCATCTTGTTGCAGAGCAGGGTGGGAACACATTAAACATCCACATATTAAAAAAATGCTTGAGGCCGGGGTTCAATTCATACTGTCTTTCAGGCCCTGCCCACGGGGTGCACTGAGATGACAATTGAGACTGGGCGTGGTGTTGCACCCCTGTAATCCCAGCACTTGGGAGGCTGAAAACAGGGGAATCACTATGAGTCTGATCTACATAGTGAGACCGTATAGACCCTGTCTTAAATACAGGAAAAAAAAAAAAAAGAAATAAAAAAATGTTTGAGTGATGGGAGTCTGGGGCCATTGGGGCTGGGCTCAGCAATGATAAGGAGTTTGGTCTTTGCCTACAAGGGAACCAATAGGGAACCACAGAAGGGCTTGAAGTCCTCAAAATCAATGCTCTGACAGCAAGGGAGAAGGGAGAAATGAGTATTAGGTTCAGAGCTAGAATATGTACTGGAACTCGCTAACGTGAAACCATCCAAAGCAGAACACAGTTTCCCCATTTCCCACCTTCCCAAACCTGCGTATGGATCACGACTTCTCAACTCACTTTATGATCCCACTATCTAACACGGTGGTGGTGAGCCTAGGACACACATACCACAGCAAGCTGTCTGCATCACCGAAAGGTCTCAAATGTTTGCCATCACTGGTAGTAGCCCATCCCATCCATTATGCCTTTTTTCTTTTGTTCCCAGTAGTGAAGACTGAGCCCAGGGCCTCTGAACTGAGCCACATACCCAGCTCCCTCCTCCTTTTGAGACAGGGTCTTGCTCAGTTAAGTTCCAAGTTGTCTAGCATGGGCTCCATCCAACTTGTTATCTTCCGGCTCTCAAACTCCAGGAGTGCTGGGATTACAGGCTTGCACGCCACACCCAGCTGATAACTTCCTTTGTCCTCCTCCCTCCAAATTGAGTCCATGGTCAAATTCTAACCAGCCCACTTCTTAAATATCTGTGTAACTTATTAAGTTTCCTATCTCTGTGAAAAAAAAAAAGACTAATATAATGGTCTCTTGTGCCCCTACCAGCTGTTCTCCACACAAAGTAAAGTTTTCACATGCCTGAAGTCCTCTGTCTTAAGTCCAGGGATCCAAGGTAAATATTGATTAGCCAAGATTTTTTTTTCTTATGTATTGAGTACAGGGTCTACAGGGTCTCACTACACAGATCGGACTCATAGTGATCCTCCTGTTGTCAGCCTCCCAAGCACTGGGATTACAGGTACCACCACCACGCCCAGTCTCAGTTGCTGTCTCAGCACACCCACGTGGGGGGGGGCACGGCACCGCATGCCAGGGATTGAACCTCTGCTGCTGCACTCTGCCTAAGCAGGCGCTTTAGTCTGCTGAGCTATCTGGCCAGCCCCGATTAGCCAAGATTTGCCAATCATGGCACATCTCTAACTTTTAACTGACTTAGTTGTAAGCAGAGACCCAGTGACATATTTCTGGTGGTTGAAATATAGAAGCATTTCTTCTGGGTAGCTTCTGGGAAAGGTATTCTTGAACCTCACAACAACCACAGGCAACATTTTTTTCTGCAGACACTGGATATAACCTATGTGCTACCACCCCAAAAGGGCAATTCCACAGTACAAAGAAAGCAGTAGTGCCTGGGGTGCACTGTCACCCCTGCAGCCTGCCTTTCCCTGGGGGAGATTTCCTTGCTATGTAACCCAAGGTGTGTTTTCTGGAGCGTGCAGCCATGAATACTGACATTGATGTTTGAGACTTCTAGTGATGAACTGACCACGGGGTGTACCCATGCTCAGTGGAAAGGTCTAAGCTGGAAAAATATGTGTGAGTCCCCAGTGAAAACTGAAGGTTGGGGAAGGGTTGAGATCTGGAAAAACTTCGAGACTGGTGAGCCAGCAGAGGATGGTGGAAGCGAGCCCAAGAGCTGCCAAAGGAAACTTTCTTTTCCTCCCCTATGGCTACCAAAAAAGGACTCTGGCTTGCCTTCCTTTTCTATGAAGACTGATATTAAAGGCATTAAAGCATTCCTAAGTGTGTCCAAACTGGAACAGTTTTTAGCTGGGGGAGGAAATCAAATTTCTGAACCTGCCCCTGGGATCAACATCAGGAAAGCCTGGCTTCCTGCCATTTAGTAAGTCCTTTACCAGAATCTCAGAGGCAACCAGAAGTGGAATGAACTGGTCACAAAATTTGCCTTCTGGGTGCAAGGTACTGAACTGGATAGCGCCAGAAACACAAGTCAGCTCCACCAGTGCTCAGGGTAGGTGCCCAAACGGGTGCTGGGCAGCCAGAGGTGTTCAGGATTGTGATGTCAGGGACTGGAGGGGCATCCCGTGGGGAGGTACTCTTGTGAGAAAAGCCTGGATGTATTAAAGCGGCACTGTTTACTGGGCCAGGCAGATGAGACTGTGGGAAGGAAGCCAGAATAGTGTCTCAAATGCTAGGCTAGACTAAGGGGCAAGCTTCTGAAATCTAAGTCACAAGGGGTCAAGGTGTATTTCTGGTCGAAGCGCAGGCTTGTGCCTGGCAGGGGGAGCCCTGGAGTTCCGTCGCAAGGGAGAGGGTCTCAAACGTCAGCGTGCGGCAGAAACACCGGGG